TTTTTTTCCAACTGCTGCAAGGCCACTAAACCAGATTACTAACTGATAGCTTTATGTTTACTCATTCAATTCAGTTTCAATTCAGTTTATTTATATAGCGCCAAGTCACAACATACGTTGTCTCAGGGCACTGTACATGAAAAAAGAAAAATCTAAAGAAGAAGCCAGCAGATTGTGTTGTCATTGTTTGTATTTTTGTTTGTTCTGACACAGAGATGTGAGTATGTCATGCTGTATCGGACAAAAATTCCACCTATTTGTTGTGTGGTCATTAATAAATAAATTAAATTAAATGAAGTGGATTTTGCATGATATGTCTGCTTTTAACCTTGAATGGTCATTCTAATGTACAGTATTTTGTGGTAGACTAGCAAAAGCCATGGGCCCGAGAGTGTAATGGTGTGATCTAGGGGGCTTTGGTAAGGTGGTAGGAAAGCTGTTTTTATTGTAAATTRATAGTATAAAAGCTCTGTGAGGGGCTAACTGGTGGCTGGAATAACGCTGGAATCCATGATGTTGGATGGCTTTGCAATCCTCTGGATAGAAAGAGGATTGTGGGACATGACATTGATGTCTTCATWGTTTAATGGAAAAAATAAAGGTCTGTAAATACGAAAGGTAGAATTTAAGAATGCATTTTTGGTGGTAATGAAGCCACATAATAGCATGGTTCAATCTGTTACTTGGTCTGACTAGTTTGTGATGGAGTTTCGAAAAGCTTCTTGATTTCCTTGTGTGTTGCCGAGGCTAAAGTCTTGTCCTTTGTAATTTGAACATGTAAAGAAGTTTGTGTGACAATCATTTTATCAAAGTAGTCTAGAGTTGTTGCAGGTTTCACAAACCAACCTCAAACACACTACAGATCAGTTTCTGTAACTCTAGAGCCCTAAGATTGTTTTTTTGTCTCCTACATGGACACTCCCCTTGTGACATAAAAACCTTTGATGCTACAGATTTGAATGACCAGGTCCAACATTGTTGACCATAAAACAATGAAAAACCGGTCCAAATCTGTCTATTAAAGGAATCCACWATTAGTTGTAACATTAGACTTTATTTGATAAACATACTGTATAGTTTAACTGTAAAATAAAGACTGTAAAAATATTGTAGGCTGTTTAGTTTTGTAAATTTTTAAAATACCGAATTTTCTGGACTATAAGCCACACTGGACTATAAGCCGCATCCCCCATTTAAAAAAATCTGTAAACATTAACATATAAACCGCACCAGACTATGAGCCGCACCCACAAAATAAAATAAAAAACAGTACACCCAAAATTTTAGTCAAAGAAGTGAATTGAACGTCACATTTATTATTTGACAAAGAAAAAGTTGGCAAGTTTACATTTAACTGAACTTATTTTGGTAGTTTTTGAATGGGAACTGTTAACAGTTTTTGATCAAACAAAACAGAAACATCTCATTCATCTTCCTCCTGTGCACTGAAACCACTGAAGTCATCTTCTTCAGTGTCAGAGTTAAACAAGCTCAGAACAGCTTYGTCACATACCTTTTCTGTCTCTTTGTCAGTGTTGCTTTCTGTGTCGCCGTCCTCCCGGGGTAATGCTGGCTCTGAAGCTGTGGTGTCCTCTTCACGTAGCAGTCCAGCCTTTCAGAACCCATTGGTGATGGTGGACTCATTCACTCTGCTCCCCGCTGTTAGGATCCACTGACAGACATCAGGAAATGATGCTCTTCGCATTCAGCCAGTTTTTGTGAATGATTTATCCCCTTCAGTCATCCAAGCCTCCCATTCGGCCCTGAGTGCTGCTTTAAATGCACGATTCACACTGATGTCCAGGGGTTGCAAATACTTTGTTGTACCTCCAGGAATAACAGCAGGAATTGAGTTTGTTTTCTTGATGGCTGCTTTCATCGAATCAGTGATGTGGGCYTGCACACTGTCCATAACAAGCAGCAGTTTTTTTCTGGTGAAAAAATCCTCCTGGGCGCTTTCCGTAGCACTCCGTTAACCAGTCCTTCATCAGATTTTCTATCATCCATCCTTTCTGGTTGACTTTAACTACAATGTCCTTCGGAAGTTGTTCTTTCAATATAGTTTTGCGCTTAAAAATCACCATCGGGGGGAGCTTCTTTCCAGAAGCAGTGCTGCCCAGCACACAGGTAAAATATGTCCTCTCGTGTCCGGTAGTTTTCATCACAATGGACGATTCACCTGTCTTGTTTACGGTCTTGGCCAGAGGCATATCAAATGTCAATGGCACTTCATCCATATTTTTAACGTTGTCTGGTCCGATGGCGTTCTCTGAAATCTTTGTTTCAACAAATTGTCTGAAATKTGTGAGTTTTTCCTGGTAGTCTGGGGGGAGTTGCTGACAGAGAGTTGTCCGTGCCCTGATGGACAGGTTCTTTCTTCTCATAAATCTGAAACACCAGGACGGTCCTCCATTAAAATKGTCAATAKTCATTTGGAGAGCAAYTKATTTAGCTTTCAGGCRGATTTGCACGGTGGAWACTCCTYGGCCGCCTGCTCTCMGGGCATTTATCCAATCCTCAAGAACATYTTCAAGTTCAGGCCATCTGCTGTTACAGTATGTCCTCTGAAAGCTTTTCTCGTCTTTTGGCATTGAACGAGTTCTTCCCACTGCCGTCTCTAACGCCGAACCATTGATTCGTTCAGGCCGAGCTTACGTGCAGAGGCTTTATTTCCCTCCTGTTGTGCAAGTTCGATAGCCTTCAACTTAAAAGCAGCATCATAGGAAGATCTTCTATTCTTTTCCATGATGAGCGCGTTGAATTTGAAGAGAAATATTTCGTGTCTGCTACTAGCTAAAGGAAAATTGGCGCATTCTTCTTCTTCTTCTTCTTCCTTTTCTTCTTCTTCTTGAGATTTCAACAGCAGTTTGCATTATTGTTGCACTACTGCCATCTATTAGATCCAAATATATATACCTCAAATTCTCATAATGATCCCAGTATTATTTAAGCTGAAGAAAAAATCCAAGAATAAGCTGCACTGGACTATAAGCCGCATGGTTCAAAGTTCAGGAAGAAAGTCGCGGCTTATAGTCCGGAAAATACAGTATATTTTAACATGGACATTTTATTTACACACAAAGCATTCTGGGTAAATGATGACATGGATAGGTCATTGGTGTGAGCAAGTTATATCCACCCTGAAGRCTAAGGGGTTCTTCTTCCATGAAGCAGCTCTGTTGTCSTCCATCCCWATTTTCAGTTACAGGCTGAGTCATTTCTACCTTCTCCTCTCTGTCAACCAATCGTCAGATACTGTCCAATACTAACCTTCAGGGTGGATATAATGCTGCGTTCACACCGAACGCGATTTCAGCTTCAAAATCGCAGCCAATGCTGAAGTTTGAAGCTTGTGCACTTTGAGGGTCAGACGCAGGACAGCTGTTGAAGCGCTGC